AACAAAGAGTGAAAAATTTAAGGGGGTCTGAATACTTTCCGTACCCACTGTATATATATATTTTTTTATATAATTTATAATTACAATTTTATATTAAAATTATAATTACATATATATATATATATATGTATATATATATATTCCGTCTAATGGTGGTAAAATTTAACAAATCACCATCACGAACACCCCACCCCCACCCGTTTCCCAATACTAAATACTATTAATAAATACTACTATTATCTAATAAAATATTATTTAATGAATAATAATAATAATATAATAAATAACAACAGCCATCATAAAAGTTGCTACGCAATTCAGACATAAACAAAGCCAAAGACTGCCGATTAGATTTACCCAAAATGAATAATTTCTCATGTTTAATCACTATAGAGACATCAGAGCCAGCGGCAAATTCCAGAAGATCTGGGTTCTGGGTGAGGTGAGGTGAGGCTGCTCTCGGCGGGTTCATGAGCGCTGATCGGCCGCTGACGCCCTGGAGCTCACATCTCCCAAAACATAGCAGCAAACTTTCAAATAGAATTAAAACTACACTCCGTGACACAAAAACAGTATTATTTATTAATTTATAGTGGATTTGGGCGTCTGCCATGACACTCGCTGTGAGAAATACTGCAAGCGGAGTGATACAAACGGTTGGAGTGCTGTTATCACTAGAATATCACACTCCTCTCAGCCAATCAGAATCAAGAACCAGAAAGAACTGTTGTAAAATTCTATATTCAGGGTCACAGACATTGAGACACACTGTGTTCATTTCAAACGCATAATTTACCCATGGACAAACTGCAGGCGCAGCCCCTCGTCTGGCGCTTTCTGCCTCTTCAGAGATCCAGCCAGTTTCTTCTTGAGCTGAGGAAGATCTTCCTTATACACCTGAGGGGTGTTTGGGAGAAGAGTTAAAGGGCAAAATCCACTCGCAACACATTCAGAGATTCAGAAAAAGCATAAAGGCCAACAGCAACTAGCCAATCAGCTGTGAAATTAATGAGAGGAACAGGATGAAAGCAGCCGAGCACGTCTGTCACATAAAACCCTCTCAGTTTGGGAACTTGGGTCTCTTGCCTGACGCTCGTAGTTGATCTGGGCTTCCTGTTCGATGTCTGAGTCCAGCTCAGGAACGTCGGAGAGGTCGGAGTCAGATTCGCCACTGTTAGAGTCAGCATAGCTATCTGTGAACGGGAAAACACTATCAGACTTTCTGCTTTCACTATATAGTCCAAACTTTCAAAATATCTTTCAAATGTAAAAATAATACATAATATTAAAACCTCTATTCTCATTTCTATTCAGTGCAGGGGTTCCAAAACTTTTTTTGTCCGCCAAACTCTTTGGATAGAAAATATTCACTTAAAGTACCTTTGAGATTTTTATTTAATATTTCAATAATTTAATAATGCATTTGCATTTTCACAGTTCTCTGATGTTGTCACAACATGCAAGTAAACAGATAAAATATTTAATCATTTTTAGTAAGTGTTTAATTTTGATTGTTTTTATTTTTAAATTATTTATATATAGGGCTGCATATAAATAAGACTTTTATTATTATTTTATATTTATATAAATTATTGTATATTAATATGAATATTTACATTATATATTAATATATATTTATTGTGTTATTTATTTTATATTATTATTATTTTGTTTTAACTAATTATAAAATGCCTATATAAACATATTATTGTTGTATATTACAATTGTCCTGTAAAATAATAAAAAAAGAATTTCTAACATTTTTTGGCCTAATATTATCTATATAATTTGTAACTACATATATTTATGATGTATTATATGATTTTATATATACAGAATGAATCCATTAATTAGAAATAATCCCTTAAAAAATGTACATTGTATATTATATTATGCATTCATATTATCTATATCAATTATATATTATATTAGCATTATATAGTGGTTCAACGCATTATATTGTGTTTTTTTTTTCGGACTATTTTTTTGGATAAGCATGAAAACAAATATTTAAAGCACAGAGAATGACAATGCCGTGATGGGTTTTTGATATAGGCTGATTTTGGCCCAATCATAATTCTATTTTATACCCCTTCCCTTTCCCCTTCCCTGATATTGGGGGGACTAGCCCCCCCTCAATGTCTATGGTGGTTATCGCCCTGATCAGACATGAAAATATGTTGTGGCACTATCATGCAGTCTGTAACGATATGACGTTAGTTAGCAAACTAACATTTTTTTGAGTAACATGACCATAAATATGAACTCACGATTGAATGTAACATAAAACAAACGATTACTTTTCGTTAAAATCTTTGTTAATGCCAACAGTGCTTACATTTATGTGTCTTTTTGTTCGCTCGGGCAGCCATGTTGCCCCTGAAGCCGGTTTACGCTGAGATAATTCATACCCCTTCGTTTGAAGTGTGGTCCCGAAAAATCTTCGTTTGAAGGGCTGTCTGGCCCTTCCCCTTACCCCTACCCTCCGACCAAAAGAGAATTGAGACACCCCTACCCCTACCGCGAAACGGAGGGGTAGGGGAAAGGGGAAGGGCTAAGGGGTAGAATTGGGATTGGGCCTTTATGTGTAGGCCTATGTATACGCAACTCGGTATTTCCGACGCTGTCTGAAACACATCTCTTGTGCGTGCTTTGATTGTGTGCGAGCACAGCGTGTGAGTAACGAATTGAGCTCTCTTTCGTTTCTTCTTCTTGTGGTTTAAAATTGCTTGAACGTGTAAATTGGCAAATTAATCTGCGAATCACGTGCGTACCGAACGGTAGGGTCTCATCCGTACGTATTACGGATCAACTGCGATCCGTTTAACTCCTAATATGTGACAGATCAGAGCAATCTTTCATTTAATTATTGAACATGAAGTTGTCTAATTGCTGCTCCATATCAATCGCATACAAAAAAAATACAGAATAATTAGAACAATCATTAACATAAATACATAACAGAGTGTCATATCTATTCACATTTTTCCCAGAACGTTCTTGCGACCCGGTAGCAATTTTTTCCATGGCCCGGTAGTGGGTCGCGACCCTGTGGTTGGGGACCTCTGATATACAGCATTAATTGCTGGAATTAACAGACCTTGAAATGGACATATCTCTCCAATTAGACTAAGATGCCTTAAAACTTGAATTTGAACTGATGTCATCTCTAACTTGCTTGCAAGAAAATTTTCCTCCACAGAAACGCTCACAAAGAGTGATTTTAAGCCCTGAAATATATATATAAAAAAAAAAATGTATACTGACATTTGAAATTTAAAAGAATGTTGTTCATTTTCATGACTTTGTATGAATTATTAAAGGGGTCATATGATGCTGCTAAAAAGAACATTATTTTCCCACAGAGCGACGTAGGTATGTGGGGGCGTGTTAGAACGAGCCGTTGTAGGTAGGTGTGGCTGACTCTTAACTTTTATAAAGAATATCTCTTTGGATTTGAGACTTTAGTCTTTGCAACTTTACAGATCTTCTTTATTCACCAAGAGCTTGTAACACTCCAAAGAGAAAGGAAAAATTTAAATCGCATCATATGACCCCTTTAATGAATTTTCATCAGCAACCACCTTTGAGAAAGTTTTTTATGACTTTTTCAGGTCTGGAAATCACAATTTTAAAATTAGGAATTAAAAAAATAAGGAATAAAAAAAAAAAAAAGCACATAATTTTCATGACATTCCCCAAATTAATACTTAATACATAAATATTTATTCTGAAATTTAGAAAAATGTATACTGACTTTTGAAATTCAAAAGAATCGTAAAGTGTCATTAATTTTCAGGGCATTCTCATGAATTATTAATGAATTCACAGACTTTTTTTCCACAGGCACTCACTTTTAAGAAAGGTTTTTGATTACATTTCCAGGTCTGGAAATCACAATTTTAAAATGACCTGACATTTCCATCTTTTTCATGACTGTGAAAACCCTAGTAATTAAAAAAATACACACATATTTGCATAAATATGTAAAAGTGATTTTCCAAGATGTTTTTCACAAGCACCCACTTTTAAGAAGGCTTTTGATGGAAATCACAATTTTAAAATAATTTTTCATGACTGTGAAAACCCTAGTAATAAAAAAAAAAAAAAAGCATATTTGAATAAATATTTAAAAACTTTAAGAATGTATACTGACTCGTGAAATTTAAATGAACTGTAAAATGTTAATAATTTTAATTATAAGTCTTCATGAAAAAAAATGCATAAATATTGACTGTTTCCAAACAGGTTTTCGTGTCCCATAATTAACTGGAATTTAGTATTTTATCATCCAACTTCATTAATAATTGCAATTTTATGAAAGAAAATACAGCTTGAAATTTAAAAGAATCGAAAAGTATCCTCAATTTTCACAACTTTCTCATGAATTATAAATGAATTATTATTCTTACTTGGCATCCTGTAGAAGAATCGTTCTCCAGCTCCATCGTTGGTCTGCAGGAAGCGGCTGTCCACGGACCAGTCCAGGTGTGTTATGAAGCAGGTGGACTTGTTGCACTCTCCCACTTTCTTATAGCGTTGGGCCACAGCGTAGGTGTCCACAAACCCGTCGTTGGAGCCCACGGCCAAGTAAGAGCCATCGGGTGAGAACTTGAGCTCGTGAATGACCTCCTTCCTGTCCTTGATGTGGACCACCTCCGTCATGTCCCTTAGAAAACCAGACAAACTCTCAGTTTGTGAATAATGAAGCTGAAATGATGAAGTGTAGGGCATCCAAATTCCATTACCTGACACGAAGAACAGTGAAGGAGCCGTCCTTCATGCCGAGAGCCAGCTGAGAACCGTCGTTGTTGAAGGAAACGCTGCGTACGGCCTCTTCCATGTTACAGCGAGCGATCAGCGTGTGTTCGGACAAACTCCACAGTCTGAACATGCATGTTTGATGAAACGGAAAATGTGTCCATATTGTACATTTATGCTAGGGCCGGGCGATATGGGCTAAAAATATTACAACAATATTTTTTCCGATCTTTACTTAATATCCTAATGATTTTTGGCATAAAAGAAACATCTAAAATTTTGACCCATACAATGTATTGTTGGCTATTGCTACAGATATACCCCAGCGACTTAAGACTGCTTTTGTGCTCCAGGGTCACATATGACATTGATATTTACAGTATTTTTTATATTCATTTACCATTATTGGGGAAGGAAATGCTTTCCAAATGTTTGTTAGATCTTGAGAATAAATGTAAACTTAACTTGTTCACAATTCTCCACAGAGCAGTTACCTTTTAATTTAGGGCCCCATAAATCCATTTTATTTTTTCCCCCAAAATTCTGTTTTCTCCATTTTATTTATTTTTTAAGTTGCTATTTTTTTTAATTTAATGCAAATTTATAATTAAAAATGGTGTCTAATGAAATGAATTAATAAAACTTTAACAATTTAATCAATCTTTTCAAATGCAAAAATGAAAATATAAATCATTTACAACAAAACACTGAATAATTTTTCTTTTGTCAAATAAGATGCTGCGCAACAGAACTGTATACATTAAACATGGATGAAAACATATATTGGTTGTTCCTGAAAAATAAAATTATTATTATTATTATTTTAGTATACAGTAGTAATTTATTTCTGTCATAATTTCTCCAAGTTAAACCAAACTTTTATTTTAATGGTTTGTTGTGCAGATCTTTCAGTTTTAGTTTCAGTGTGTATTTGATGGCAGTTTTTCTCGAATGAACGGTAATCAAATTAAAATATAAGGTTACACTTTATTTTAAGGTGTCCTTGTTACAGTGTAATTAAACATTTAAGTACTGTGTAATTTTAATTAACTACATGTACTTACTATATGATTAGGGTTAGGATTAGGGTTTGGCTTAGGGTTACTTGCATGTAATTATGCATAATTAATTGTTATTATAATAGTAAGTACATGTAACGTGTAACAAGGCCACCTTAAAATAAAGTGTTACCAAATATAACAATAAATTTACAACAAAACATTGCATTTTTATTTTTTTTTCAAACAAGATGATGCACAACAGAACTGTATAAATTAAAACATGGATGAAAAAATATCTTGGTTGTATGATATTTTTCAAAAATGAAAAAAAAAAAAAAGCATTTTAGCACAGAATAGTACTATAGTTCTGCCAATTTATTTAAGTTAAACCAAACTTTTATTTTGGCGGTCTGTGGTGAAGATCTTTGAGTTTCAGTGAGTATTTGACAGTAGTTTTTCTAAAAATCAGTTATTTAAAATAAAGCATTGTATTTATATTTTTTCTCAAATAAGATGCTGCACATTAGAAATGTATCAATTAAAACATGGATGAAAAAATATTTTGGTTGTATGATATATTATTATTATTACTTTAAGAATTACATTTTATTATATAATAGTATTATATTTCTGTCCTAATTTCTTCATAAGTTTAACCAAACTTCTTTCGGTTTCAGTCTGAATTTGACCGTAGTTTTTCTCAAATGAAACAGTGTAAAGCTGATGAAGTGACTCTCAGAGCAGCTCTGGAAATGAAGTTCATGTGTTCATGTCTCATATATTGAGACGCAGATGCTGAAAACACTGCGAGCATCATGTGTGTTTGAGTTTGAAATGTCTAGAGCTCATCATCTTTATCGCAGTCGTTTATCGCCCAGCCCTAGTTTTTTTGAAAAACCAAAACCAAAACCTCATCTCATTTCCACCCGTCTTGCTCCATTTATAATGTCTACTGTGTGAACTGATGTGGCATGAACTGAAATCCAACAGAAGGGGAGGACTAACCGTACGGATCGATCGTCGCTGCCGGTGACGGCCAGCGGTTGTTTGGGATGCAGGTCGAGGGCCCAGAGCTCCCCCTCTGAATGTCCCTGCATGATCAGCATCGGTTTATCTCGGTCTCTCACCATCACCTCAAAGATCTCACTGTCTTGAGTTCCTGCCAGGATCCTGTCAGCCCTCCAGCACACACTGCGGATGGACAGACCTGGAGAGAAGAGTGATTCAGATCGACAAGAAAGTAAGAGGATCCAAGCAGTAGGCCTGTCGCAATAATCAATATATCGACTTATCGCGCAATATATGTACATGACCTCAATCATTTTTGGTGACGCAATATAT